TAATTATACTCGGATCGATTTTACCCGCCGGTATGGAGTCCACCATTAGGGAACAGCAAGCCGACTGTCCAGGCTGGATTTCCTAAGCAAGCTTCTAGAATCCACCAGAATGACTACAAGGCTGATTTAACTGTTAGGGGGAGTTGGCAGATTTACTTAATTCAGTGGACTGAATTGTGAAAAAACTCGAGGCCTCGGTGCTAGTGCTTTGGGGCATGAACATTTTGTCTGAACGTCTGCGGATCAGAAAGTCGTGTTCAAGACTGTTTATCTAAGTCAAAATCTCCCGTGCCCTTTTGCTATGAGTGTTCAGCTAGAAGTACTATTCCTGTATGCTCCTGGTAACACATTGTTGTTAGTTTTCTTTTTATAGCGATGTCGAATACAGTACAGTCGGTACTTCATGCAAAATGCTGAACTTCACGAAAAATTGATAATCATTCGCAAATCGACATTAAGTAAGGCTGTAGTACTGATTATCGTGCAATCTAATCTCCAGTAATTTAAGTCACGTCAAGATGCCAGCTTTTTGACGAGGTTCATGGAACTGCGAAGGGCTTTGTTACATTGCAGAATATGAGTTCAGCAACATAATATGTCCTTTCAATGGTGTTAAGTAGGCGTCTCTTGATGGCGTGCTGAATAGTCCCTGCCAATGACTGTCGATCCTTTGTCAAAGCGATTATCAGTCTGCACACTTATTTAGTACAACGCTTCTTCCCTGGAACATTTGAACGGCTTCAAATGGGCCGGGTTTCTGTTCCATTACGCGAAAGGTGTCAGTAGAGGCAAAATTTGGTGCCTAGGCTACGTGTCAAGAGGGTTTTCACCAAGGGAGGTTATTTTTGGGTTTGACCTTTCACCTATTTACTTCGGCTATCGGCTTTTTCACCGAGGGAGGTGATTTTGGGTTTGAACTTTCGCGCAGTTATTTCGGCTACCAGGAGGCTCCCGTAAACAGCTGACTGTGGAGCTAGATCGGACCCCGGCGATGACCTCTGCCGCGTCGGCCGTCGTCGTCGTTAGACGAGTCGATAATTGGCGTCCCCGACTTTTTCACACCTCCGTTGGCTTCATAAAACCAGATAGGCAGGTTTAAGTAGGCGTTGACTGAGCCCTTAGCGGATTGTCTAGGCTTCCTACTGCAGCGTCACCTCGACCTCTACTCCCAATGGCGTCAGAGTGTGTCCCATCTGCACGGCATAGATTGGTACCTCCGACTTTTATGTGTTCCATCTGCATTTCCAGCGCGGTCTGCCTGTTTTTCTGACGTACTTACACTCCCCGCAGCTACACCGAAGTCGGTAAACATCGGTACAGTCGTTTGATCGTATCACTTTCCGTTGGATTGTCGAGTCAGGCCTATGGGCAGCTATTCTGATCGGGGAGAAGGGGTAATGTAACCATGGCTCCATCGTGATTTCGGTTGATTGCTCTCTCTCCCTCTCCATTCCGCTTTCTTTGTGACGTTCGACTCTTCTAATCTACTGTTCGTGGATAGCCGCCGCTCTCTAATGGGCTTTTGAAGAAGTTAACTCCAATGCCTTTTGGCGACTGTTGACTGCTACAATGAGCTTCTATCTGTCCCAGCATATCGTTTTGTGTTGCAGTTTGTGGTTTCTCTTGTGTGACGGAGCAACGTGTTCATGGTCACCAGCTGGTCGTCCGATTAGAGCGGCAGACGAGAGCATCCAAGAGTGCAAGTCTATTTTCCTCCCCCCTTCTCTTCCACCATGGACTGTAGATGGAGGGGGAGCAATCGAGTTCAGTCGTTTTTTATACTATCCAATCCGGTCCCGGTTATTGATGGTGAAAGTGTTCGCAACGTAACTTGTCCACAATTTGAGTTTGTATCCCTCAAACACTCGTCTTTTTACTTTTTTGAGGACAAACACATCCATGAGCCCTACATATAAGTATCCATAAAATCGAATAACGTTAGTTGCTTCCGGTATAGCCATCATGTTCGTAGTCTTTCAGCTATGGCATGTCCTCGGACACTGGTTATAATATGCTCGTCCGACTGCTAACCCAAACACCAACTCGGAAAATGAAATACAACAGTGGCGTGAGGGCACGTTGAGACGCATTGCAATGAAACGGAAGGCAAGGTTACTGAATGAAAATATATTTGACGGGTACCGAGGGCGAATGACTTCCGGCAACTTTGCTAACCAGTGCCTACACAAATGAGACGAGAGACTAAATGCAATTGGCTCTAATTTTTGGGCGACATCTTCTGTACGTGAAGGAAGGCGTCAGCCACCTTCTCCCACTCCACTTAGAGTTGGGGTAGCACACAGGCCGGAGGCTACCTCGAGGCTGAACTACCCGCAGCCACTGCGGAAAATATCTGGAGTCATTTGCCGGATCTGGTGCAGTTTTGGCCAAAACAACTACGTTGAAGAAACCGGGAGATTACTGCGGACGCGCATGCTCGAAGAGGAGAGACATTAGCTCTCAGATTGCAGCTCACTGGAGGGGAATTGGCCATATTTTAAAGCTTAACGAGACGGAAATCCTTACAAGAGGTGACATCCGTGTGAGCCGTGAGCTGTCCGAGTCGTGGTTCTCAGGCCCAAAGACGTAATGACTGCCGTTCCTGTAATCTGCCCGGGGAAATCAGTCACGTGACGACGGCGTGGGCTACCAAAAGCTAGATGACAGCGAGCCAAGTTGCTGCGTAATTTTCACGCCAACATCCATCACAGATAGTGAATACGGCGCAATTACCGACCCTGACGCAGACTGCCAATTCTTGCCACAGTTTTACGCACTTTCGGTTTTATTTTGTTCCTCCTTTGGCTTCTAACCACACTAGCCAAACATTTTCTCCACGTATTCAATGCTCCACTGCTTACACCATGCGTGCGTCCTCTACAAATTAGTAATCTCACCTTTTGCAGTTGAGGCTACTTTACGAGTGTGTCCCCATGGCCTACCTGATGGAGCAGGCCGGCGGAATGGCCTCCAATGGCAAGATCCCCATTCTGGACATCCAACCTGAGAAGATCCACGAGCGCGCGCCCATCTACCTAGGCAGCCGAGAGGACGTGGAGGAGGTCCTCAAGTTTGTCAATCCGTAACTGCCATCTACATCGTCTCGCCACGTGCTTTTTAGATCTCTCATCCGGTGCAATTCCGCCTCTTTCTGCATTGCCTCGTACTGATCAATCTCATGTTATAACAATCTTTTGCTATTGTAATTCCCGTAGGCAGCACGCCGC